GACCTGTAGGCTGTAACAAGGACGGTGCCGGTAAAACAAGTAAAACAAACACTGCAAGTCTCAGACACAAAATATTTAGCAGCTCAAAACCACAAGCTGAGTGTGACCCTCATATGGAGGGGGGGGGGTGACTTGGTTGCCATGACAGCATCCCCCCCTCTGCTCCCCAAATACCAGTCAGGATTTGTCCCCAGGAGCAGGCTTTTCTGTCCTAAGTTCTGACACAGGCCCTGGATGATCAGACGGAGTCCCCCCCCCGACCCTCAGTCGTCATCATGAAAATGGCCTCCGCATTCAGGGATGATTTTTCTGTAGATGAGCGGATATATATGGATGTAAATGGAAGGAATGCTGCATGATTGCGTGGCGTTGATCCCTTTGCTCTTTTATGCAGTCGCATCTTCTTCACTGCCTAAACAGGGCCTCGTATTGTCTGCCTGCTGCCCTCTGCTTGTCAGTTTGGTCACTTCGCCGCTACACTAACAGGAGATTCATTCTTCTCCTGGCAAAAGCATTAATCTTTGTTCGGGGCCATCCTCCTTGCATTATATCCTCTCATGGCGTTAATTTTTAAACGGAGCACTCTATTTTAAGGCAGGGAAGGGGTTTAACCCATCTCACGTCATCTACATCTAAACATTCTGGCAGTTTCTCCCCGCAGAGTCCCTGGGGTGCTTCTTGCTGGGGTTGTGGTCTTGTGAGAGTTGCGTCTCCATCTGCTGTCAGCAGGGAGAGGATGCTGGGTAGAGGGACACATTACTTTGAGCAGACTTGGCCCAGAAGGCCGGCTCGCAAACCAGAAGAGAAATCTGCTTGCGTGTCCACATCTCCCTGCATCCTAAGTATTCTGCAAGTCAGACAGAGTGTGTTTTCCCTTATTAAAAATCTGGCAGGAAATAGAATAGCACCACGCCAGTCTAGGTCTCCAGGGGATTCATTTACAGAGTTATCTTGCAAACATAGAGATTAATTAAGAAAACAAGAAAAACACAACTATTAATCTAAGAATTAATACAGACAAAGATGGAAGAAAATAAATCAAAGCTCTAGGAAGCCAATTTCAACTTTGCAAACTTATTTTTCTGATTTGTCGTCAGCAATGATGGATTCACTCAGACAGAATCAATACTGTCTGCGTCCTAATTGCTGTTACAGCTTAGATTAATAATTAAATCAATTAAATGAAAGAAAGAATGACTTTTGCACTTGTTCTGACTCGTCTGTAACTTGCTCCATGTTTTGTATTACAATGCAGGTCAGGTTATGCCCTCTAGGTGGGGTGCTGTTTAAGGAACTATCTGAATGGCTTATTGGGAAGGTACCTACAAATAAATATTGCAAAATGTCTGAGCATCAGGCCTTGTGTGCAGCACTCAAATATTTCCCCCCATTTTTCTTCTGGAGAGGGAGAGGGAGGCAATTTCACGGAGAGTCTCTGAACCGTACCGGAGCTGTTCTGCCAGGGGATTAGGCAAATGCGTTTCCCAAGCAATCATTTTCGTATGTCTGTGCCAGTTTTTTTTACAAATTCATGTAGATAAGGGGCCCCAGGTGATCCCAAGGGGAGGTACTGCTTGGTGTTCATATGTGTGTGTGTATGTCGGGGGGTTGATTGTCCAATTGGGTCCTGTCAGGAGCAACTCGGGGCCGCATGTTTCAAACCACATAAACCTATTTTAGCTAACATCCAGGAAGTGACACGAAAAAAGGTGAAGTTTGATGAGAGTATGAATGATCGGGCATTAGCCAATGGGGAAGTAATTAATCATTTCATTAACCCACCCCTCAATGCTAGGGGCACGGGGGGGGGGGGGGGGCATACGGAATGTTTAATGCTTTAATTCCTCAGCCAGTTCACACAAACGAAGCCGATATCTCCTATAGCTCCGTAGCACCTAACCATGCCAAGAAAGACAGCCACAATTTCAGCTCATTCAATTCCAAAGTCAGATCTTCTCCCTGTTCATCCGTGTGTATCTGTCGGCTGTCGGAGGCCTGGGATCTCCGGGGGGTGGCCAGATGCTTCTTGGATCTAAGGGCGTGAAAACTGTGAAGAGGATCATCTTTAATTCGCATGCTCACCAGGCAGCCACTGATGTCGGCAATTTGTTGTCAAGAAACTGAGACAAAGGAGCGTGTCTTTAAATATGGGCCTGAAAATACTGAAAAAAAGCATAATCTCTCCTTTATTCTCGCATCTGAATATTGTTTACACTCGGTTATCCCACAGCTATTTAGTGGCAACAGGAAATCCTTGATTTCAGTGCACGATTCAGATCTGATCTTCTTTCAGTTGAATTAAAATACATCAAAAAATATTCCTTCCTCCCATACCCGATTAAATTGTGTCCGTTTTCTGCGCCCGCATTTCCAAACAGCGAGGGGGGGTGGGGTTGATTAACTCCTGGGATGTACAGATTCCTCTTTCTGCAGCAGGTGACAGCTCCGCTGTGTGTTACCACATGATGGATCATGCATTAGAGCGCCTTTAAAAATGGCGGGAAGAAACGCCTGTCTCGGCTGTTTTTTTTTTTCACCCAAGTATGCTTCACAATGGTGGGGATGGGAAGGCATGACACAGGTTGTGGCTGCGTGGCAGTTAGATTGCTGTGCATAGGATAATTGGTGGCCTAGTTTCAACGGGAGTTCTTATTGATCGGTTTCTGCTCTACGCATCTCATTGATTGGTCAGTCTGTGTTACTGGGAGAGCAAGTTTTGCTAGCTGCTCCACATACATTCCTCTCTAACGACCCTCCTGTTCCTTTGTCCCTGCTTTCCACCAGCTTGCCCTCCCGGTACCTTCAAATCCAGCCAGGGGGCAGGACTGTGCCAGCAGTGTCCCCCCAACAGCCGGTCATCTGTGGAGGCTGCCACCATCTGTGCCTGCCGCAACGGCTACTACCGCAGTGACACGGATCCTCCGGAAGCTTCCTGCACCAGTAAGTGTCACTCAAGTGGGACCCATTTCGTCTCGAAAGAGGAGGACTTTGGCATCAAGGGCTAGGAGGCCATTAGGTTTGATTAAAACCCCCTAAAGCGGTGATGGTCAATCTTCTCCAGGAAGGGCCACTGGGTATGCAGGCAGTTAGATTACTAATTAGAGGATTGATCAGCTGAAGCAGGTTTGGTTTCAACATTGAGAAGGACCAAATCAGCCTCGAACCCCCACCCCTTTAAACACACACAGTACAATTACAATATTGGTAAGAACATGTCTCTACCGTCCATACCCAAATCTTCGCCCTTGGGCTAAAGAGTCCTCACACCTGGGTTTGAACAGCTGACCTAAAGGTTATCCCAAAAACCTGCACACACACCGGCCCGTTGTGGGTAAGACCCCTCAGTAGTGGAAAGTTCAGCTTCAGAAAGTTCAAATTTTGTTACAAGCAGCCAGTTGAGTATAAAGAGTCACAGTCACAGAGTACTCAACTGGTTGGTTGAAACAAAACCTTGGCAAGGATTTGTACTTTCTGAACCTGAATTTTCCGCCTCTGCCTCCGCTGCCCTTTAAAACAGACATCTGTGGTGAATGTTTTAACGTCATTGTCCGGGTGAATTCCTGGATCTCACACTCACAGATTCAAAACAGTCACGTGGAAAGAATCAGAAAGACCGTGAGCTATAGCAACACAGCGATGAAAGTTTGATTCCACGTCCAGAGCAGAGTTTCTGAGCCAAACAAACTGTCAGCGGTACGGGTTTGCCTGTCAGTGATCAACAGATCAACAGAGCTGATGATGTAGATGGTCTGGGCTATTTTAAGGTTAGTGTGTTAACTATGTCCAGCTAAATTACTTGGGAGTGGGATGTACTGTAGGGTAGCTTGTATCATCACCCCAAGTGTATTGCTGTTATTGATATACTGTATTTCGTATCAGTATCATTGTCAGCATTAATATGATTGTTCAAATGCTACAGTCTATCATATGGACGTATCTTGTTTACTGCGGTAGATTACGATTGTGGTCTTGGAACCAAGGGTGCAGTAGGAGCACGGATACCCTGGCAGATTCAGGGGGGCCAACACTTCACAGTGGCCCTTGAATGTGTAAAATTATATTTAAACCTGGGGGAGGGCAACGTGACATTTTGTCAGGGGGCCCAGAATTTCTAGCTACTCCTCTGCCGGGGAACACGTACTAAATTGCTGCTCTGTTTCCGTGGAAACTGGTAATTGAATCGACTTGATTAGGCTGTCGCTAAATACTGATATAGATCTCATACCTATGCCTCGCTGTGCTGTTTAAAAAAGTTAAATATGCTCCCCTGACTTGCCCCGGGTCATATGTATCCCTCGAACAAAACAGAGAAAGTTAGTATTCAGCCTAATTAAGATTAATCAATCATTCAGTTACTTAATTGTTTGGGAGCTAGAAACAATTAGTGGCTCATGAATTATTCAAATGCCTAAATTTAACATTGTTTGTTGATGCGGGATATGCACATAAACAAAACATGGGAGAGCAGTGCTGGCTGTTATCTTTCATTACTTTCTGCTTTTATTCACTTTTAAAGAAAAAAATACAGCTTATTGAAATACTGGTTAGGACAATTTATTTATTTATTTAGCAGGTACTCTTCATTCAAAGTGACACTTTTATCTTTTGATGGAGAAAGCAGGGTCACTCAGTCCCTGGAGCAGTAGGGGCCCAGTGATGACATCGTTCAGCCGACACTGAGATTTGAACCAACAACCTCCCAAGCCCAGCCACATTGCCCTAACCCACTGAGCCACACACAGCCCCCCGAGGCTTATGGCAGGACAGATTAGTTAACCTTAAGTAATGAAGATCTCCGCTGAAACAGAACGATGTGTACCCCAGAGTCCGTACGGTACAGTGTTAGGTCTCATTCTGTGTCTGCCCAAGCACTGATTTTGGCTGCCCTCACAAAAAATCAGAATCTCTAGTATTTAATTGACATCTACAAATATTAAGCATTCTTCACAAGTTAGTCTCAGTTGCCCACCAGTTGCCTGAGTTGAAAATGCAATCAATTGCTAATTTGGACATCTATGCCAGTTGGAACAAGAGACAACTTCCCCTGCATAGGTAAATTGAGCTTTAAGTGTTTTACCTGGCTAGCTAACAGAAGGTATTATGTGCAATTTAGCAGTTGTTCATTTTGGTTAGTTGTTTGAATGCAGTTGTTTACCGTCAAGGCTCATTGAGTCGACGGTGTTGTGAGGTTGTAATTGTGTTTTATGGTGATCCTTTGCATAAGCATTTTGTTGGTACCCGATAGGCAGACAGATTGCTAATGATACAACTTCTTTCAAAAAGCTGAGCAGAGGCTGCGAGAATCCAGCATTCCATGCGGCCGTGAGAGTCTTGGAGCCCCATAAATCTCTTGACCGCTCATCCCTCAGAACTTTCTCAGACTGGGCAATCGAGATTGTCCTACTTTGTGATTTACTTCTTTTCACCAAGTGGCAGCTGGATAGCTACTAAGGCAGTTCCACAAAGAAATCACAACTAGCAGGACATCGACCCGCTGGACATTGCGAGTTTCTGGTCTCTGCCACTGAAATCTCGATCCATTTCTGGGTCTTGGTAGTAGTTGGCCTGTCCTTCTGATTTATGAAGCAAACTGACAAAGTAAACACACTATGAGCAGGTGGTCTGCCTTCATGCATTCATCCCTTCTGTCTCCATCAGTATGTTCTCGGGTCAATGTTAAGGTTCTAGCCTCTCTCCCTTTTCTTCAGCCTGTAGAACCAAAGTGGGTCAGGAATAATATACGATTTAACAAGCCCTATCAAGAACTTCAGTTACTGCTCCACATTCCTCCACGCCCAGGAGACCTGCAGAAGTGGGGCATGCCATGTAGGTGACCTGAAAACGAACAAGCGCAATGAAAAAAAATAAAAGACGACACCCATTCACGAATAACTGCAAATGAGGCAGTTTCTTGGATTAATTTATGAATGGGTGCTACCTGGGTCCTCTGGGACCGGTTTGCATTCACTCCAGAAGGATATGCCATTGGGGACTTGTTACCAAATCACAGTGAGGAGATCTGGAGAGAGCTTCAGGCTCACTTTACAGCAAGGTACACTGCTCCTGCCATTGTGATCGGCATCTAAAAAGGCAGGACTGTGACACTCGCTGATTACGGGTGTTTCTCAAATTACTCATCTGGAAGATTACAGCACGATGGCGGAGACAGTCGATATATTCCACAGACTGGAGAATTATGGCATCTGCTTATCTAGAAGATTCCCTTCCTTGTCTGATCAGACACTACAAAGGTGGTCATATGAAACGATCTCCAAAAGCTTACGAGAACCTCTAATCTACATTCCTGTACAGATTTAGACTAATTGGTGATGCTTTTTAGAAAAATATATTTATAAAAAGCAGGGAAGTTACTAATGTAAAAGAAATCTGAGAGGATGTTGTCTGTGGGATTCTGTAAGGCACAATCACGTGACTCAGGGACGTTCGGGAGAAGCTTATGGGATTGATTACTGAGGTCTCTTCATTCCGGCTGAGTGAGGTACGGTTTGAAAAGAAATACACCACTGGGTATATGGATACAGGAACCGTTACGGTCACCTGGCTCGGTGCAGCCCCCACCACTCCGAAAAGTTCCCAGCACAGGAAGGAACCGCTGGTCTGTGAGGGAAGCATTGCTAAGATACTCTGATTAGAGATACTACAGTGGGTTGAATGCCTGTCCCCCCCCACCCCTCCTCCATGCGGACAGGCTCCGGAAAGCAGTGTGACCTTTTCTTCTGGATTCTTCCATCCGAATGGTCATCCCCTGAGGCCCACGCCTCACATCTTAAACGGGAAGGCAGGAAATTCAAGTTAATCAAAAATGCATAAACTTTTGCTCAGCAAACGAGGGATGCTGGAGGGCATCTCAGGGTCCTGACTGTGCCGTTTACCTACCAAGTGGCCAGTAGGGCTGGCCTTCCTCCCTGGAGTAGCCAGATGCTCCTCCATTGACCTTGCCTACACTTGAATGACCACATTCTGTTGACGTTTGTTGACTGTAGATCCTTTAAACAAGGTAGCTGGTCCATAATTTTCAGGTGTTTGTCTTTGATTTGCTCTTCTCTGGATGCTAACAATTTTACTGAAACATCCTAGTTTAAGACCTGACTGAAAGGTACAACACGACACGATTGAGGCACCCTGTGTCGACTAGATCGGGATTACCGACGCTTTTCTGCGATGAGAACATTTACAGCCCAAAAAGTGCTGAAGTTACTCAGCATTTCGTCATGTTTAGAATCGTGCTTTGGTTTCCTTGGATGTGATTGGGTGGAAGTTTGCAGAAAAATGGCCCCGGGACTTTATGGCAGAAGGGACACAAGGCCTGCTGTCCCACTGGGAGCCTGGGCCCACAGTGGAATTGCAGCCATCATTATTCCCTTGCCCCTGGGTCTCTCTCAGCTTGGGAGACAGCTGGCGCCCCATATACAGTAGGTGCATCAAGAGTGTCCAGCTGTCAGAAACTTCTCAGTTAGCAGGATTAGCAGGAGAAAGGAGGGGCCACCACTGCACCCACCGCTGGGCCTGGAGTTCTAGGGGGGTTATTCCAGGCCAAGATGAAGAAGCACCCACTTGCTAGTTCTTTCCTTGTGGGTGCTGGTACAATGTTGGACTTTCCCGACAGGGAAACAACAAAACATTCTCTGTATAGGCCTCAAACCCTCAGATTTAGACAGTCTATGTCAAACCCATGGTTGAAACACTGTTATCAGAAGGTCCAAACTGTAAACGTATTTGTCACATTGACTGTAATGGTGCCATCAGAAGGTCCAAGTTGGGAGGTATCATATTTTTAGCAGAAATACCAGGAGGTACAGACTGTGGACTGGCTGTCCACATCACAACCAGCAGTGTTAGAGTCATCCTGCCTCCGCGACTGTCTCTCCGTCTGATTGGCTGATTGGATCATCTAGGTTTCTCACCTGCTATTGGCCACTGGTGCGTATTCTTTGTTCCTCGATTCTCCCGATCATTCAGCCTCTTGTAGGACAAGACGGTTCATTCTGGCAAGCGTAATCAGTCCGTGCTGGAGGCCGGAGGTGTTATGGACGGGGGGCGGGGCGGCTGGCTCAGGATTGTTTACGTTAGGTAGCACCTTTCAGGAAGCTGTTTTAACGAGGCTTTCCGGCCTTGACTGATGACCATACAGCCTTGCCGGAGATGTTGGGGGGGGGGGTGTGAAATATGAAAGCCTTCCGCTGTCCGATTATTCATTCATGGGGCTGTCGGCCCGACGAAGGCACGTCAGGCACAATCCAGAGATTTCTGTGACGTGGGGCAGCTGCTCTCTCTCCCGATTAGGGGGCTGATGGATCGACAGGCCTCTCGTTCTGTCAGCAGGACAGCAGTGCCAGAATGACCCCCTCCCCCCACGCCCCATCCGCCCCACCCTCCATCTTCACCCCCACCCCCTTCACAGCTTCTTCATATTTCTCAGCTGGGTTTGCAGTG